GTTGGGAGATAAAACCATTAATCTGAGGATGCAGTGAACTCGGAAAGAAAAAACATTAGATGGAGAGGTGTAAAAACCAGCTGCGGCAATGTAGGGACCATTGCAGTTCTCTGTCCCTTGGTCGGAGCAGCTGCGCTACATTATCTCACTTCACTGCCTTGTTTTGGAGGAGTCCTGATACCATTTCCTGCACAGGGGATTATTTCTAGCTTCATAAAATATCCGAGGAGGGAAGTGAAGAATGAAAATTAGCACAGTAAACACATTGCCCCAGTTCAGCCCTGTGGGGCATCGTCATTAGCTTTAGGAGAGTTTCAATAAAGACGAATTGAGGCCCATTTTTATGTGCGCCTGTGCACATTTGTGCGTGTGTGTTTTTAACACCAGCATGTAATGCCAGTGCTTTATTCAATAATTTTATACAGGGACTGAAATGAAATGAAAAGTGTGATTAGTACTAGATGTGATTAATGCTTTCAATAAGGCACGTTCATGTTACAGATGATTGGTCTGGGGTTTCACACCGTGTGAAAATTACTGGTGGCCAGGTTTCTGACAGTTAAGGTTGCAGTGAGGAAAACAATGGGGAAGTAGTACTGTAGGAGTATACTGACTTTCTTCTTCCCCGTGTCTAGAGTCAGGCCTGCTTGGGATACAGATGTCAATAGATCTCTTCGATGCTAAGCACTGCAAAACTTCTGTATTCCCGGAAGAGTAGTGTCCCACTCCACCTGTTTTCAAGCCGCTCAAAGTATTTCCTGCTACACCAAAAATGGTGAGAAGACAGCAATGCAGGTAGGGTTTTGCTGTGGGAATGCTTGCATCTGTGCTAAGCTAACACAGGTGCTCAGGTCCCGAACTGCTCCAAAATAACAGTTCAGAAGCCACCACCACCTGTATGGCCAGGGATGTCACACAAAGATGAACAAACACAGCTTGATTTTTTCCCCCCAGAAAAGTCTGAGCTTAGAATGACAACCATCTCCTTTCCCCCTAGGAGGATAGGATGCCCAGTTTAGAAACAAGAAAAATGAGACAGAGATGCAGCAGCTTAACCAGAGTTTCTCCTAACCTTTCCCCCCTTTACCCTCAGACCTCCTCCAGCACAGCTGAGCCCAGGCTTTCAAAAACCATGAGTCATGCCTCTCCAAAATCACAGCATTTAAAAAAAAAAGGAGAAGAAAAAGAAGCTGATGAATGTGGAGTTCATTTTATTTTCCTCTTGATTTTTTTTAACCTTGGAGCGTCACAGTTTCACACCTTACTCTGTAAACCAAAATGTAATGGGATCTTACTGTTTTGCTTACAGGAGAATCTCCACTTTCATTAAATCACATCCATGGCTTTAAAAAGGAAAACACCAAATAGCATGAAACTTGCAATCCAAATGCTGAGTGTTGGTGTCACTGACTCCGTGGCTCCAAGATGCCACGGCTGGAGAATCCAGGTGCTTAACCGTAACATTTTCCAAAGCTCCTAAATACCATTTTTCAAAAAAGACTTGGACATTTCAGAGTCATGCAATGGTAACAGCTACCCCAAATGGGAAGGGAGGAGAAAAGATCCTTTGCACCTTTCCACGCGCCACGTAATAGCCAGGTTACATCATGACTTAGGTGGCTGGAGCCCTTCTGTTCCAAGAACAATGGCTAACTGTTCTTTTTCCATCTATAAATTTGTCTGAGTTAACAGTTCCCAAGATCTGGCAGCAAGCTGGAGCTGGGAGTGAGCGGAGAGATAGGAGGGTGACAGTCTGAAATGAAACACAGAGCTGCTGGGCCTGCAGCCGTCAGACAGGAGCCTGGCTCTCTCCCTTAAAGATTACTCAGACTCCTTTGCTGGAGCCCTCCGCATTCCCCAAAATCCTAGCAACAAAGTGCTGTCTCTCAGCCTCCAATGAATCATGTGAATGTAACCTTTCACCTGGCCACAAGGAGGTTAATATACCAAAATAGCCTCCTCTCCCCCACACCTCTCATTTCTTGCCTTTGTGGTGGGGGAGCCGACTGCACCGGGTGGAAGCCAAATGGCACTGTGAAATCAGCATCCGCTGGCCTCTGCCAGGTGGGAGGGTAGCACTGGGACCCTCGGCACCAGCTGCACGGTTCGGCCAACCCAGGGCTGGGTTTGTTCTGTGAAATGTTGGCCATTTTCTGAAAAATATCACACACCCCCAAGCTGAGAGCTGTGTGATGGGGGAGCACGGAGGCAGGGACTGGAAGTCAGGACTCTGAGCTTCTGGTGCTCTCTCTGCCAGTCATTTGCTGTGCCACGAATGTCCCTGGCATGCAAGGTTTGTACATGTCGTGTGACCCATGAAAGAAATCCCATTGAGTTTCCATGTGTCCAGGCACTTGGGGGGATCAGAGCCTAAGGTGTGTATAGCCTGGCCCTGCTCCCTTTGACGTCCATGGCAAACTCCTCTTGATTTCAGAGGAGCAGGATCAGTCCCTGACCCTCTCTAAGCCTTGAGCCCCTGGGAGAAGGGCTGCCCAGCCATTGACTTAAATGGGATGGCCCTTTCCACCTCTCTGTACCCTTTCTCTGAGCTGGGAGAGGGAAATGCTGTTGTCCATGGAGCCAGGGGTTGGTTTAACCCTTCCCAATGGCTTCTCATCCCTCACCAGCAACCAGGCACCCCACTGCAGAACTCAGGCCTGGGACGTCCCCACCTCCCTCCAGCCCATTGAGATCATTTCACCCTGCCTCCTTTATATATATTTTCAGTGCCACGGGTGGGAATTAGCCCCAGGGAGAACACACGGGCACCGGCATGGATGCCCTGGGACAGAGGCCAGGCATCTCTAGGAACAGGTAGGCAGGGGACCATCTCCCCTCATGGTATCATACTGGACCCCACCCTCTTGGCTGGGTTTGCTGGAGCCTTGAGGGATTCACTGCCTCGCTTTACTTGTGAAGACACTTCAAGTCCATCGCTGCTCAAAGGAACTCGGAGAGAGAAGCCGCTTTGCGCTCCTTACCACACCGTAACTCCGTGCTGCGGAGGGGGCAGATGGCACTTTGGCTAGATTGGGGCTAATGATTTGCACAGCTTCAGGGCTCCCCAGAGATATCTCCTCACTTTGTTTCCCTTCCACTGCCTTTTCCCTGACAAGGGAGAAGCCCCCCCAGGAGTGGGTGTTGCTTAGAAAGGCCAAGGAAAACTTTGATCCTTGCCCCCAGCCAAGATGTTAAGAACCTCGAGGGATCAAATTTAGAGCAGGCCCTGAATGGATCGGGGCAAGGGAGCAAGGGGAGTCTGGGCTAAGCGACCCGAGCTGGGCTATGGCGTGTGGGGGTATGCCAATAAGTGCTGGGGAATTTGTGTGGCTCCGCTCCTGCTGCTTAAGAGAAGGGAGCATTATTTGTGCATGTTAGGGGCGTTCTCCAAAGCAAATCATCTGGGGCACTGACAGGGGCATGGGTGGGAAGGCGATCAGCATCATGGGGCACAGGTAGAGGGTACGGGTCGCTGAATCCGGAGGGAGGGGTGGTGGGCGATGATGCTTGTTGGGAGGGAGCTTGCCATTGCCTCGGAGTGCCTTTGGGTAGTACCTGACTCAGTGCTGCTCTGCATTTGCACCCGTCTTGAATTTGGATGGGAACTGCCCACACCTCCCACACGGCAGAGATCCTGCCTGCATTGCTCACCTCTCTGGAGGAGGGCTCCTCCCAGGGTCTTCACCAGCCTGGGCGGAGGGTCCTCAGAGATGCCTCGCTCCCCTGCATGTTTGCCTGCCCTACACCCATTGCAAATCAAGTGCCAGGTGGTGGGGGGGAGGCCCCCGGGGACCAAGGGCACCACTCTGTCCTAGTGCCCTGGAAAAGTCCCCACTTGCACAGTCTGGATCCTAAGTCCCCAGCCTGGCCCTGCACTGCAGGAAAGTGTCTGCTGGCCCTGATGGGACGGGGCATCTCCCCAGGGCTCTGCTGCTGCAGCGGTGGGGTGGGGGGGGGAAGGAGGAGTCCCCGGGTGAGCCTGCCCCGCGGCTCCTCCCCGGAGCCCACGGGCGCGCAGTCCGCATTTGCGTGCGCACAGGTGGCTGCGCGGGCAGCCCACATGCGACGGCTTCGTCCTTGGGGCTCACACCTCTTGGGGCTGGGACCCTCCTCTCCCGGGCTCTGCTGCCCTGTGTGAGGGGACGGGGAGGGCATGGGGGGAGGTCCCTTTACAACGCCCCGGGGGGCCCCGCGGGGGCAGTGCGGGGGGCTCTGGCGCTGCCCCGCACCGAGCCCCGGCCGCCCCGGGCCCGAGGGCGGTGCACGGACCCGCTGGTGCGGAGAGAACCGGGCTGCGGGTCTGTGTGCACGTGTGTACGCGCGCGTGTGCCCGCCGTGCGGGTCCCGAAAAGCGCAGTCTAGAAATCCTGCGGGGCGCACAATTTAAAAACCCCGCAGATTTCCTTTAGGGCAAGTACGGCCCATCGCTCATAGCATGATCGTCCGCCTGTATAGCCCATAGACCCTCAGCGGGGGGGGACCTATATCCTTGTACACGCTGTACGAGTGTATGTGTATTTAAACACCTACAAGTGTATACGTGTATATTTATACACCCGCATATACATATATGGGGGTGTATAAATATACACGTATACACTTGTAGGTGTATTATATCTGTATATCTATAGATATATAGATATATATAGAATAAAGGGTGTTTGTGTGTATAAATATATACTTATACACTTATAGGTGTATTCTAGAGAGAGAGAGAGAATAAGGGGTGTTTGTGTGTGTGTTTGTGTGTAAAAATATACACTTATACACTTGCAGTTGTATTCTATATATATATAGAATAAGGGTATTCTCTCTATATATAGAATAAGGGGTGTTTGTGTGTGTGCGTTTATTTGTTTGTTTATAGTGTTAAAGGCTGTACCCTTTATCCACTACACACACACACACACACACACACACATATATATATATATATACACACATATATACACACACAGCTATATAAATAAATAAAATATATAAATAAAAATACGGGGGTGTGTGTTATATAAAATAAAGGGGGGTATATATACACACACATACACACACATAAAGGTATGCGTATGCATAAATGTATATGCACATACACACATGGGCATCTGCTCCTGCATGCCTTGTATTTACACGCCTGTATAAATTCGCACTTTCAATATCGCATCGGTTTTCGGTCTCTCTATCGGTCTCTTCATCGACTATCCCTGATAGCCGCTGGAATAGGGATGTCGGATACAATCGCGACGATGGGACCTCCATGCTTTCATTTGATTTCCACCCCCGACCTCCTCTAAAGGAAACGTGACGCCGAGATTTCTCTCTGAATTACGTCGCAATGGAAGGAGCTGTGTGTGCTGCAAACAGCCGCAGGCTCGGACCCGGCTCCCCGCGCCGCCGCCGCCGCCGGCCCCCTGGCACAGCCGCGAGGGGAGAGGGTTTCCCACGGGGCCCTCGGTTCCCCGCGTGGGTGAGGACAGTGCCCAGCGGCATGGGCGAGCCAGGGGGGTGCAAATATGCCGAGGGGAGCAGGTAGCGGCCCCCCAGGCTGCCTGGGGACCGGGCTTTCCTTCGCCCCGACGTTGCCCGTCGTGGCTGGTCCTGGGAGCTGAAAGGGTGCAAAGCCCCGCGGGGCCCCTGACCCCAGAGCAGAGCCGGGGACCGATCCTCGCTCCTCGGCCCCGGGGCAGCTGGTGGGAGACTGGGCGCTGCTGGGGGACGGCGTCGGGGGCGGGAGCGGGGTCTCTACGGTACTTTCCCAGGCGCTTCGGTGCGCGGGCAGGGGCCGCTCCCGTGGGGCCGGGGCTGGCGAGGCTCAGAGGCCACCAGGACCCGCCAGGCCCGTCTCCCCCGGGGCAGCCGGCATCGCAGCCAGGGGGGACTCGGCTCCGCTGCCCCCCCCCGCAGCCGCGGCGGCTCTCCCGGCCCGGCCCCAGCGCCGTCGGAAGGCCCTGGGGAGCGGGGGTCGTGCCCTGCCCCCCAGAGGCACAGATGTAGCCAGAAAAGTAGACAGAAAAATAGATACATACATAATACACACAGAGACCAACAGAAAAACAGGCAGAAAAACAGACATGTACAAATAGAAAAATAGATACATGCATAATACACACATGCACACACGGACAGACAGAAACATGCATGCATGTGCACAGAGACAGAAAACATAGACAAATAGACACGCACAGATAGAAAAATAGATGCATGCATAATATACTCACATGCACACGCAAACAGAGAGAAACATGCATGCATGCGGACACAAGAGACAGAAAACATAGAAAAATAGGCAGAAAAATAGACACGCGCCGACAGAAAAACAGATACGTGCATAAATACACAGACAGAAAAACAGAATAAATAGATCCATCCATACATGGAAAGAAAAAATAGATACATGCATCCAAACAGAGAAAGAGACAGAAAATAAATAGGTAGACAGACAGACTCATACATAATAGCCAGAAAAATAGAGACATGCATCCAAACTTATTAAGACAGACAGAAAAATAGACATACACACGTAGATAGGTAGAGAGACACACACATAATACATAGAGAAAAAGAGACATACATCCATACATAGAAAGGCAGAAAAATAGATAGATACATGCATCCCAATACTGGAAGACGGACAGAAAAATAGAGAGAGAGAGATAGATAGATAGATAGATAGATAGATAGATAGATAGATAGACAGACGACGAAGCCAGCGGGCTCCTGGGCCCGGCAGGACCCGGACAGGCGCAGCCCTGCCCCGGGGCAACTCCGCACAACTTCCCGGCGCCCAGCCGGAGGATAGATAGATAGATAGATAGATAGACAGACGACGAAGCCAGCGGGCTCCTGGGCCCGGCAGGACCCGGACAGGCGCAGCCCTGCCCCGGGGCAACTCCGCACAACTTCCCGGCGCCCAGCCGGAGCCCCGCACCCCGGGGCAGCCCCCGCCCCCGC